TGTCAACAAGACACTTGACTGAAGGCGTACAAGGACAGCTGTAGCGTGTCATCTTCAAACAAATCAAGCTAATATTGGCTCATATGGATATGATAACCATGGGTGCTTTAGAGCCTCAGATGCAGAAGGCCGCTTCTTTGGGTTTATCTCAAGCGAATGAGCAACAGAATCAATAAAACCCTGATCTCCCATGGGCCAACGATGCCTTAAAGATGTCTTTTTTAGAATCAGGTGTTCCAGCTTGTAGGTTTCTTGAATAATACAAACAACATAAACCATTTAAATATAAGCTTGGGAAATTATTTGATGAATATAAAATCAAATGCCGAACAAGTAAATGAATCACAGATAATATAATAATAACTGCAGCCTTAAAAAAGTTATATTAGAAAGGAGGAAAGGATGATAAAACATCAGGATAGGCTATATAGAACAGCATACACAATTCAGCAAAAGCGAAAAGACAGATGCTGAAGCTCAATGGACATGTGAAAAGCTTTGGTAAAGAAATAAGCCAACACTAGGACACTGAAACCAAAATACAATGATGTGATTATTTAGATGTTGTAGCATAATTAAATCCAATGTAATGTACGTTCTACTACAATTACTTAATTACTAATAATAATGCAGTATCTTGTCTTAGCTGGTAATGTGAATACTGTCATAAGTCATAACCAAGCATATCATAAGTTTACAACTTCTATACATCAACTGCCTCATGGACACAAAAGCAAATATAAAAGATAGTTACCTGATTACGCTCATAAAGCATGTGATTCTTAGTGAAATATTTGTATGTATCACGTCCCTTGGCAAGCATGTCTTGATCAATGGGACAAATGATTCCAATAACCGTTGCAAGTAATGTTGCTGGTGAATCATTTTGGAAAAGGACCTACACCAAAGTTTCATTGATACCAATTTGCAAGTTTCAAAGTGATCAGTTGCAATAGTTTCAAGTGATATAGATTGGCATGAGATACAGGAGTCTAGCTGAACTCTAGGCATCTCTTAATTCATATGTTAAAACTTACATTGCCAGTACAAAGTTCTGCCAAGATGCAACCAAGTGACCAGATGTCTATCTTCTTATCATATGGAAGCCCCAGGATAACCTCTGGTGCACGATACGACCTGGATTGAACATAAGAACATAGATGATCTGTCTCAAAACAGCTACTCCCAAGATTAATGACCTTGACCTCACATCTACTGTAGCTTTTCACTAATATATTTTCAGGCTTTAGATCACAATGTATAAGACCAAGATCATGCAAAAATTGAAGTGCCTCCAAACATTGAATGGTAATTGACTGCATTGAACATTTTGAAGGAATGAGAAAACAGCAGGACATATCAATTAGAAGCTCATTGCGATATGATACTACCATACCTGTAATCTTGGCATTGTGAAATAAACCTCACCCCCTGATTCTCTATTAAATTTATGAAACTCGTATAAGTTTGCCTTGAGAAGTTCACATACAATTAACAAATGTTCCTGAAAATAAAGGAAATTCAGCTTTTACTTAAATCAGAACTTGTCATAAACTAACATGTGTGGAAACACTTGAAATAATTGAAAAGAAACCATCAAACACGAAAGAATCTACTGTAGAACTGGCTAAATAGCACTACTGCATTGAAAGAAGTCAAATATCTGCCACCACAAATTTATGT